AGAATTTCTTTCTCTAAAATGTTTATCTATATGTCTAGAAACTTACCTCAAACTTTCATAATTTTTGGAGTTGATTTGATATTTAGATTCTGAAAACTACTAAAACACTTGAGTTTGTAAAATTTATTTAATATAGTTAATCAACTCCAAAAATGATAAAATTTTGGAAAATATTTATAAACATATAATAGAACATGTTAGAGAAATAACTTCTTAATTTGTATTTCTCATTTATGAAAACCCATTTATTTTGAAAACTATTAAACAATACGAAATCTCTAAACATTTGGTTTTTGATGAAACGATTTCAAACATGTTTGAAACTCTTTAAAATAGATTTATATACTTGAAGAAAAATATAAAATTTTATCGTTAAGTCTATAATCTGAAAATAATGATAAATCAAAATAAACGATAAATCAAAATAAATGTGTGTGTATGAATTTTGAGCTCTAAGTATAAACACACAAAGTACGTATAAACTACTAAACTAAATATATCCAAGCTTGAATATCTCTTCGTGACGCTCGATCTTGGGAAATCCTCCTCTTTGTAGTATGGATGAAGCAATAGAGTCTTTGACTTGAAGTGCAACGGATTCATTCCAATTTTGTGGCAACCTCCTTTGAATATTAACGTTGAAGCATAGGTCCATCCAACCTCCAACTATATTATTCATCTAGAATACCTAATAGGTAAGTATGAACACTAGACAAACGATATTAGGGATTGTTTGTAAATCATCAAAATAAGATTAGAGATATAGGCTCATAAACATGAGACCTAACAACACTTTTCTATAATTAATCTTGTTGTCGAACTGTGAGAGTAAATCATTCTTGATATCAATTGGCCAAAGGTATGACCTAACCTTTAGAATAGATTGTATTTGATTTGCAATGAATTTGTGTGATGCCCTTGATTTACCAGCATTAGTTCCATGTTGATCGCAAGTGTGAGTAGCATGGAATTTCTTTACAGCCATAATCGAGCAATTTCGGAGTGGGGGAAACAAATAACATCCAAGGGCATTTATGTGTGTCATTGTATCGACAATATACTCTTATATGTTTTTGTTCATTATGGTAAAAATAATACTCAAGGCATTTTTATAATTGAATAGTATTGAAGTGCTACTCTAACTTCAACCGTACTATTAAATTTCTACACCTCCTTGCGTAGGTTGTGTGACACTTAGCTGGAATATTGTTCTGGTTGTTTATCATGTCACTAATCACCATGATTGTGTCACTAGTAGGACTATCGTTAGGAATACGCTCATCATTACATGATTGGTGAGCGTAGTAGTTATGCATTGGGAATTTGATGTTGGGATTATCTTATAAAAGTGAGAAGAAACTTAAATACTTAACAATTAACTATAAATGTTAACATCTAACTACAAAGGCTAACAACAAACTCATAAGATTAACAACCAACTCAAAATCTTAACATTTAAGAAATAAGGTTAACAACTAACTCATAAGGTTAACAATCAACTCATAATGTTAACAACCAACTCAAAATCTTAACAACTAATAATTAAGATTAACAATCAATGCACAAGGTTAACAATCAACTCATAACCTTAACAACTAATAGCCACTAACTTTTATAGCTAAAAATCAACTCATAAGGTTAATAACCAACTCAAAACCACAACAATAACCTATAAGATTAACAACCAACTTATAACCTTCAACATCTAGTTACTATAATTTTAGGAAAAAATGTTAAAAATGCATTTGCTTACACATTTTCTGAAGAACTTTTGGTGTTTTAAGAAGTTGAAGGATCTGCAACTACAGTAGTATATATATTAATGTCTGTAAATCGATTACGAAGATAATATTCAAACAACAAGCTCAAGTCCTCATCGTTGTTAACTGTAAAACTAAACTTTTTTCTCTTTTGGATATGAATTTCAGTGAAATATATTGCAATGGAAGCTTAAGGATTTGGGAAGCTTGATATTTTAAGCTAATAATTTATGTAGATTCATTAATAGCTAGGAAAACATCCTCGGCCTCTTTGGTGCTTGCTATGTTTGTATCCATGCGAAGGAGGGATATTTCCATCATTATTAAGAAAAGTACTTGACAAAGCAAAGATGATAATGGCCATTGGGGGGAGAGGGGGAGAGAGAAAGTAGATGGAGGGAATTTAATGGCTATGAGAGAGAGAGAGAGAGAGAGAGAGAGAAGATGGTTGTAGGAACTAAATTGGAGGGAAGTAGGGTTTTTCTCCTCCAGAACCTCCTTCCAATCCACATTCGATGCATCACAATGATGGAAAATCAAGCCACATCATCACCATTTTTCCTAATTTTTTCTATAGTTGGGTTATATGTGAAGGGTGTTTTTGTCTAACCATGTTTATGAAGTACACATGTGAGATTAATTTGAGCTGGAGGGGGCTAAGGAGAAAACACATTTGCTTTTGGGGATTTTTGGGGTGTTGAAAAAGTCTTGGGGTGGGGTGAATTACATTCCCCATTTTGGGTGCTAGAAGCAATTTTCCCTTTTTTATGTGGAGAAAATTTGAAGGAAGAAGGGTATTTATGAAGTAAAGACCATTTGAGGAAAGAATATATTAAGAATGGATGTATTTGGTTTCTTGTTCCATGTTACATAAAGTATAAGATAATTTAAGGCCCAAACTTGGTCCAGTTTTAGTTGAATTTTGTGTTTGGAAACTTTTGGGACAGAGCTGACCGAACTATTTTTAGTTCATTTTGGAAACCTCTTAACCATGCTAAAATTGAACCACTCCCTACCCGGTTCAATTCTGGTCTGGTTAAAAAAAATAAAACATGTCTAGCCCAGTATGGAGGGGTTTGCCAAACAAACCCTAAAATTGATATTTCGGTTAACATTCTTTTGTATCTCCACGTGTATTTGACCAGTATTTGTACTTGAACATGGGACGATATGATATTGTTCCCCACAATGGCTTTAAGAATTAATTACGCAAAAGAGCCATGATAACTTTTTTCTCAATTAATGACGTGTTTCTAGAAATTATCTCTTATTTTTTTTGGATGTTTTGAAGAAAGTTAAAATAACATCTTATAGTTTAAAGACAACTATGCAAATAGTTGGGCAAAACATGATCCTCCAGTAACGTCTACTACTTTATAACTTACAACGTTTGGAATTGTGTAATGGTAGAAGTGAATTGTTCTCCCGAAACAGAACCAAATACTTGTGTGTTCTTACGGGAAGGAATTAAACAGCGACTGATTTTGATAAGATCGTTGACAATTTTTACTCGCAAGCCTCTACAGCACGATGGCCCTGTTCGTGGGACCCACTTCCATAGCTCTCAGCCCCTCCTCGTCTCCGGAGGTGATGCTCGATGCTCTTTGCTTTCTTGATTTTGCGGTACTTTTTTGAGTCCTTGATTTTAGGGTTAAAGATTGAGATTTTGTTTGAAATTTAAAGTTAATTGAGCAGTAATTGAAGAATGTGCTTAAAGATATCGGTGTATTCTTGGTCTGAAACATTTGTCGTCACAATGAGGTGGGTTGGTTGTCACGTTGCTAATTTTTCCTATCAGAGTCCTTTTCTTGACATCTTGATTTCAGAGTTAGAGAGATTGAGATTTTGTTTTGAAATGTAAAATTAGTAATTAAAGAATGTGCTTAAAGCTATCACTATTTTTGTGGTCTGGAGGTTTGGTATAATGACATAAATCTTCAGATGCAAGCAGAGACATCAAGACTGAAACCCATCTGTACTCAATTTCAAAAGAAAATCAGGGGTGAAGACAATCCATGTGTAAAAAATTGGATTTATTCATGTACTGTATATCAATTTGTGGGCCAGAGGAGGAGTAAAAAATCAAACTTATATAATTAATGAGATCAATATCATGTCCAGGTGTACATTGTGATTATCATTTACTAGGTGGAGAATCGCCATCATAACATTATTAACATATACTACTTTGTCCCCAAAATTTGATGGGAGCTTTCACTTTAGTTCTCCTCTATAGAGTGATTCTAATGCTTGATGAATTTGAGAGCTTTCAGTTTAATTCTTATCTCTTGAGACAAGTCACTCTGCTTGTTGCATTTTTACCCCTAAGAGTGATGCAAGTTCATTTTCGCGGTGGTTGGACATCACCAAGTTCTCCTGGCTGGTAAATGGAGGAGATTGTTTAGTTTGTTTTGTAATTACAATGTCAATGTCAATTACATGTACAGTTTCTATAATGATAGTACTATGTGTATCAACTGTTGTTGTAATTTCTTGGTTCAATCCTAAAATTTTGCGATTTGTAACAGGAAGATTTTTTTTTTAAGAATCGCAATTGTGGTTGCATTTATTAGCTACAGTGAAATAAACATTTGTGATTGACTTAAAATATTCCAGTTAAATTAAGCAAAATATACAACTGCTCTAAGCATAGTCAACCAAACAATCCCCTATTTTTTTTTCTCCAATGCATTTGTTATGGGTTGATTGTCATTTGCTCAACAAATGATATGAATAGTATCATTATTATTATCTTAAATACTATATATCTATATTAGTACTGTGTCAATTCTTTTTTTCTCTTTGCTTGTGCACAACCATCCTCCTAACTTTTGTTTGTTTTTTGTTTTATTTAGCTTTGCTCATAAAAGAAAAAGTCAATAGTGATGAGAAAGCTGAGTGCAAAGTTTGAAAAAGGATCATTCCAGAAGAACAAATTCATTTGAAAGGCAAGTATTTTCTCATATCTTTTCACTATCATAATCCCATGCATTTCATATTGTTCTTTTCTTTTCAATAATTTTCTCCTTGGTTGTGATCATTGTGACATCTTTATCGTTCTTTAAAAAAGTTTCATTATTCAAACTATACTTTAAAACTATAAATAAACTATATGAATTAGATATGAAAGATCTCTATCTAACTCATGAGCTGTATGACAACTGGTATAGTATACTTTCGAATACAGTTGTATTCAATCAAAAATAGTTTATTCATTATGTTCCATTTTTGCGCAGAATATGGTACTATTGTGGGCTATGCATCCATGGGAAAAGGATGCACGGTGGGCTCACTACGTGCTCCACAAAGACCACTCTTTCACCATCCTTGTCGAGATTTCTTGCACCCGCTCCGCAGAGGAGCTGCTAGGGGCAAGAAAGGCGTATCATTCCCTCTTCCACCATTCTCTGGAGGAAGATGTTGCTTATCATGTCAAAGAATCTAATGCCAAAGTAAGTATTGTTTCTAATCTTCATTGATGCGCAAATCTTTCTCTTAATAGCTTTAATCTTAAATTTAAGTTCTAATTTGTCTCTTTTATTATGACGTTTGGTGATTGAATTTAATTGCTTATATACAATCTTTGCTGCATTCCCTCTTCAGTTGGACTATTCTATGGTACAATAAGAATGAGAAAAGATTTGATGGGTTTTCCACAACTTTCTGAATCATCAACATGAGTATCTTTTTTTTCCTTCCCCTTCTAAAATCAGAAACTAGCATATCTTTTTACGGCAACAAGCCATATCATTTTAAGGTTATTCATGTCCCCGTGTTCCTTGAGAAGATAAGTTAAATACTAATGTGGGCCTCATCCTAGATTCATAGCTTCGACCAATTTTCTTGAAATATGATAGATTCATAAATTTCTTGTAGATGATGAACCATGTTAATCTTTTTTACCTCCTTATCCAGGGTGTTCCTGTTGATGTGAACCATGGATTCAGTGTTGATTTTGTTTGGAAGAGTATCAGCTTTGATCGGGTGCAAGGAGCAATGAAAACTTTTGTTGTAGATGAAACCAGTGTCAGCGGGTGAGCTTCATTCTATCCTCATGAGTGAGATTCAGATAATGTTTTAATGTGTTGTGGATTCGAATGTTGTTTTATGAGATTCAGACAGTGTAATATTCAGATGAATGCATGTACAGATATTGAAAGAAATGACATTTGATCTCTCTCTCTCATTTCTTTTGGGTTGGTATAGCATATGGCTCCGTACTTGTGCAAGTGATTTGTGTGGGTTGCTGATTGAATATGAATGAATATGATTTTCTTTTTTCTCTTTGTAGCCTCCTATTATGTTTACATAACTTAAATAACACAAAAAATGTAAAAGATGATGGAATATTGTTTCAATTTCATTCCAGAATTTTGTATAATGACAGAATGCTCACTTTGTAACTCAATACACAAAGTAGGTTTACAAGCAAAAAACACACCGTAGCACATATCCTAGACGGAAATTTCGTCTAGGATGCTCTATCCTAGATGGAAATATCCTAGATGGAATTTCCGTCTAGGATATAGCATCCTAGACGGAGTTAAAATCCGTCTAGGAAGCTTCCTAGATAGAATTTTCCTTCTAGGAAGCTTCCTAGACGGATTTTATTTCCGTCTAGGTTATCCGTCTAGGATACCGCATCCTAGACGGAAACAAACTCGACTCGCATCGTAGATGAAATTCTGTCTAGGATATGTTTTTTAGACGGAAATGAGAGTATCCTAGATGAAATTTTCCTTCTAGGATGCTTCATTTTGTACCAGTGATTAGTCCTCTAAGTTATCTCAATATGTTGATATTAATCCGTCTAGTTAGTTGATGTCAAAATGGATGAGAAATCTTATGTTTTCTTTAATTTTTTTCTTAAATGAACAGTTATACCCCTCTCATCCTTCCGCTCCAACCTCGTCGCCCTCTTTCCGCTCTCTCCTCCTCCAGTGAGCACGCTTCAATGTGGTGGTGATGAAATTACCTGTAGAGGTAGTGGTAATGTTGGTGATATCGTGATTGTGGGAAGTGAGAATATAGGAGGAGGTGATGGAGGTGGAGGAGATGGTAGTGGAGGAGATGCAGGAGGTGAGGAGAATACAAATGGAGGTGAATATGCAGGAGGTGGTGAAAATACCAACGGAGGAGAGGACAAAGGAAAAAGAGATGGAGGTAATGGATGAGAAGATGAGAGAGAGGGAGAGGGTAGTAAGGTAATTCTCACCCGTGACTTATGTTAATCCAAATATAGTTTAGGGCTTTGAATGATAAACTTGACAGAAGGATTAATATAAACACATTAATGTAATTTAAGGGACTAGTATCCCAGGATGAAGATTTAGGGGACTACTATTAAAATATCTATGTTTTAAGGGACTAATATCTAAAAACCCTTTATATAAAAGTTTTAAGGGACTAATATCTAAAAACCCTTTATATAAAAGTAAAATACTTTCTAACTTAGGGGCTATGCTACTTTACATTATTAATCTAATTAGATAATTTATATAAGTTAACAAGCAGGGGGCTTACAAAGATTTGAATAAAATTGATTGACCAAAGGATTTATACTACTCTAATCCGATTTAAATGCAAATTAAATCTTATTAACAAATTATCCTAGTAAATATGATATTCAACAAATTATAAGCAAGAATATTAAACTAAAGGCGAAATAAACATGAGCAATGGCGATATACATAAAGAGCACAAATATAAGTGGACGCCAAAGACAAACTCAAACACAGGGAAATGATCACGGAGTTTGGTCCCCTCGACCTACGTCTCCGTTTCCCACTCTCGGGGAGAATTTACTATCACAACCGGGTTTTTGACGCTCATCCGAAAATATTTACACCTCACACTCGGTTTTCTAGCTCACCGAAAATTTTACAACTCACACTTGTAACTACACAAATACCACCCAAGTGTTGGCCTCTCACGTGTTACCTTCCTCAAGTGTTCGAAATTACGACCTACCTCTAGGCTTTACCATCGACTACACTCCTCTTGGAACCGACCACGTCTCTCACCTCTACACTCCTCTTGGTGTATTTGTGCAATACAATGTGACCTCACAAATAAAAGCTCAACAATAAATGATTTATTCTCTAAACAATGTGAGAACTCAATTAAGCTCAACTCAATATTATAATCTCACAACCCCAAATACTATGTATGAAAATACTAAAAACTCAATAGGTTGTGTTTGAACAAAGAGTACAAATAAAATCAAATATAAACTCAATGTAAAATCTAGCTTATAGAGGTTATAATCAAAACAATAAATAGCTAGAATTGAGTTTAGAAAAACTTCTCTATAGATAACAAGAGGGAGAGAGAGAGAAGAGTTGAAGCTCAAACACAAATGGTGATCTCCTCTAGCTCTTGTGAAAATTTCTTCACAAACAAAACGATAAACAAACTTAAAACCCTTAAACAAACTTGTAAAAACTCTTTAAAACTTTTCTCATAGTTGATAAGAAGAGCTGGGTATAAGGGGGTATATATAGGGAACCCCAAAGATCAAGAAAACCCAGCAAAAGACCAAAAAATCAAAATAGTGCAAAGCTGGAAAATATAGCCGTTAGAGGCTATCAGTCAACTGACAGGTCCGTCAGTCGATTGATGAGCCGACCGTTACAGGCCGCTCCCAACTCATCAGTCGACTGGTATACTCATCAGTCGACTGATAGTTCATCAGTCGTAAAAACAAAAACTTTTGGCAATTCTAGGTGATTTCTTCGGTCAACTGATACCTTGCATCAGTCGACTGCTAACATATTTTCAGCCTGTTTTAAACAGTAAATCTGATTTTTGAAGTGCCTTAAAAAATAACAAATAAATTCTAAAAAATGTAAAACTTTGAGAAATGATTATAAACATATTAATGAACATGTTACAAAAAAATTTTTTAGAACTGCACTTCCCAATTGTAAAAACTCAACATTTTTCAAAATAGTCCAAAACATAAAAATTTGAGATGCTTGAAATTTGATGTTTAGACATAAACCAAGGTTTTGAAAACTTTTGTATGACTTTATAGACTTTATAAAAGATATATAATATCGTCATCATGTCTATAAACCAGAAACACAGTATTTTCACAAAAGTGATGTTTTGCATAATATATGCATTTTACAAAAACCAAAATGATAAATATGAAACGTATGAGTATGTATATGAATATATCTATTGTTTCATATTTGTATAGTTAAACCAAAAACAAAAATAATAAATATGAAATATGTAAGTATATAAACAAGTATTTTTATTTCATATTTATATAAACTAAATTACCCAAAAACGTGTATGTGTGTATATGATTGAGCTTAAAATATTGAACACACATAATATAACACCTAAACTATTTACCCAAGCTAGATTGATCTTCAATATGCTTGACTTGGTAAACTTTGTGGATGAAACTTGATCTTGAATCTTTGACTTGAATTGTGCATAGCTTCACTCCAGTATTTCCGCCAACCTCCATTTGATATGATTGTTATGGCGCAATTCCTTGCATCCTCCGACTTATTGTTTATCTAAAATACCTAACAAGAAAACACATACACTAGACAAATAATATTAGAGATTGTTTGTAAATCATCATCAATATAAAAAGACTAACAAATTTAAGTGCATTTGTCCACCCTTTTTATGAACTTGAAAGACAAGCAAAGTTGCATATGAAAAAAAACTTGTTGACTTTTCTTAACTTATTAAGTCAACAATAAATAAATAAATAAATAAATTACTTGAGCTAGAGTTGCAATGGTTTAATAATCAATCTCTTTAAATAATTAAAAAAAGGTTAATTGTGAGTAGACCCCCTATAGTATTACCTAATTGAGAAAGATCATCTATAGTTCTTTTGTACAAATAGACTCTAAGAAAAAAAAATTTGTACTCCTAAAAGCATTTTAAAAATTTTGAGGAGGCTAATAGAGCTATATATTTCTATTGGTGAGAATAGAACCCTAATTGTTAAATTTTAAAAAAGCGAAAAAAATTCGTTAAGAAAGTGTATTAATTTGCACTTAGGCTAATAATGAAAGTGGTCTATTCAAGCTTTGCATAATATTCACTTTTTTGTTTGGTTGCATGCATAACACAAGATGAGAAGATGTTAAAATTCTCCCAAAAAAAATTTTGTTTGGCTGCTAGACCGAAAGAAAGTACTGACATGAATTAATGATGTGAGGATAGGCCATTCTGAGGAGAATTAATCATACGTAGGGCTATGCAATCGGTCGGTCGGTTCGGTTTTTAGCCAAATTTGGTCAAATCAAATTGAACCACCTATCATTCAAAACTGAAGTGAACCGATTCAAGTCGGTTCGGTTCGGTTCGGTTCGAGCCAATTTGTTCGGTTTTTACTTGGGTACAAATGTTATGTCCAAATTCAATTTCACCTCTAATCTATTGACGAAGAAATAAGTCTCTTACACTTCAATTTATTAAAATTCATAAACTATTAAATGTTACTGAATATTAGATGTAGAAATCAAAATCTAATTCCTACCAAAGATTACATAAACTTTTTTAGAGAAAACTTACATAACGAATTAAAGTGGTCTCAATTTGATAGACAAAGTAAATAAAAAATATGTAATAACTTGGATGTTGGGTATAGTTTCTATAAAATTATAAGTTTGATCCAAAGAGAAGTCTGATCTAAAGATGTATCAATAGAGGAGAAAAATCAAGAAAAGATTAGAATAAACATTATGGTTTAAGTTTCTTACCTCCAAAGTGGATTGATCCAAAGTAGAAGAAGCGAATATGTAATAGAGAGGGTTAGCGAACTAGAGATAATGAAAAACCCTAGAATTGGAGAGGGTACCATTGTTGGAGTACTTTATCGCTATTAGGTCGCGTGAGAGAAAAAGATATCAAGCTGTAGCGAAGTAACTTTATATGAACTATAATGAGTTGGGTTTTAGCGGATACAAATAATAATTACAATGTGTAATACAATTCGGTCGGTTTGGTCGGTTTGGGTTGAAAAAACATCAACCCGACCCAAACCGAACTCTAATGAAAACCGAACCGAACTGTCAAATTTCGGTCGGTTCGGTCGGTTTGAATTGAACTATGCTCACCCCTAATCATACGTAGCCTATTTAAAATATATTTTCTTCTCACTTTCTCAGCAAAGTCGGGTATTTCGGGAGAGATTTCTGAAGAGGTCATTTGCTAAGGGGGCTGGAAGCAAAAATCCAGTGGCAATCCTATTTTATTACAAGTAGGCATAAATAAAAAATAATTGAACCCAAGAGAAATTAGCTGATGGAGCCCACAAATTCTGTGAATTTTTAACAAATCATTGCAACCAAACAACTCACTATTTACTCCTCTATACAAATGAGAGAACACAATTTTCACTATTCATACTATAGGCTATAGCAGCATTTACGATAGCAAACAAGAAACGAGATGCTATTGTAATTTTTTTGAAAAAAATGTTAAATTAGCACATGAGAATACTGTAATATTTTTGAAAAAAGTTATAGCAGAAACGAGATACTGTAGTAATTTAAAAAATTCAAAAAAATTACCACAGAATTTAAAATCAGAATTATTGTAGCAAGAAAAAAAAATATACCATATGCCGTGCAATGCTTCACACTAATTTAAGGAGTACCAAATGACAAGAAAGATATTCCGAATCCAAACGAAGACGTCTCTTTTCATTAAAAAACTCATTTATCCTTTTTTTTTAATTTCCCAAACTCCGGGCAGCTCGGGTAGGCTCCACTAACCGTTGATCTCCCAAACTTCGCGGCAAATGAGGAGGTCAACGGGCAGCGACTTAGATTTAGAGCTCCTCTCTTGCACGTCAGACTTTTAATACTGATGATGACGAGATCAAATTTATGAGAAAAATGTCTGTCTGGGTCTTGTCTAAATTTATTGTTTGATTCAAGGGGCGCATAAAAATCTCACCTCGTCGAGTTCTGGAAGCGCTTTCACTGTGAAAAGAGGAAGGAATCAATCATCTAGCTGAGTAGAGTGCCAGGGAGAGAATTGAGCGTAAAAAAGTCTTTAGCTTGTTTGAGTTTTGAAGGGGGGGAGAGAGAGGAGGAGGTACAATTTGAGTTGGGTTTCCTTTGTTCAATCTTTGGGTGCGAAAAAGATTGAATCTTTTTTGATTGAGGGAGCCTTGATGAGATTGGAGGAG